TAGCTTCCACCTCCCTCTCTCTTTGTTGCATAGCTTCTTCCTCCATCTTATCCTCACCACTATTTTCTTCTTCCATATCATTGTCATCACTTGTTTCTTCCTCCCATCTTCAATTTGAATCCATCTACTAAGAAAAAGGAAAAAACAACGAATATTATGATCACAACCAACTCCTCTTATTTTTTTTATAACATTGTTTTATTAATAATATTATCAACGTTATTTTTTTTTTTTATTTATTTCTCTTAGTGTAATGAGAAATGAATTTGGCAGAATGATGTAAATTCAACTCATTTGATTCTTAATAGAAAGGAACAAAGCAAAGTAAATGAACTTAAGTGAAAGAGAACAATTGTTGCTAATAAAATGGCCAAGGAAGAGTAGTTGGAGGTTGGTTGGTTAAATAGGTGTTTAATTTTTTCTCTTTGATTTGGTCAATTTTTCTTAAAAGCTATGTTTTTGCTAATTTGTTTTGGGAAGCCTCACTTTCATCCCTTTTTAGAACAAGACTACACACTTAAACAACAAGACTAAACACTTATGAGAAGTATACTTTAACTTCTTTCTATAAAGAAACTAAAAGGTTAAAGGGAGTATGACAATAAAAAGTTCATCTAGTCAAAATGAACTAATGGGAATCAACATCAATCTTGAAAACAGTAATAAAAAACATGGCAACTTTGAAAATATGTCTCTAACATAAAAAAATGCAATAATATCATAGAACATAAGATATTTTCTTTTTTTTCCAAATTACCTACTAAAGAATGGACAGTACAAGGGAATCCATTTGTGTTGATTTTGTTGGATGGTGGAACAACTTTAGCATGGAGTTGGATTTGTCCAATAACTAGCATTAGCTTAATCAAAATTTGTGGGTGAAGTTATCAACTTCTTGATAAGGTGTGGAGACAAAACCTCTTTTGCAGATCATTTGATGTGTTTTAACTTCTTTCTATAAAAAAATTAAACACTTATTAAGGTGCATATCTTGACATACTATATTGGTAGAAGGCTATTAAGATGGCTTGCCATTATGGCCATTATGGTGATGATGACAAAATTCAACACCAAGTCTATTGGATAGAAACGATAAAAAAAAAAAATGAAATGAATGAAATTCTATTATTAAAAGTCTAATATATGAATTTTGTATGGTTTTTTTTTCTCTCGAGTTACACTGGATGAATTTGGAATGGGCCCTTTTTTTTTTTTTTTCTCTTTTCTACAAAGATGTATGCATTACATATGCTACAAAAAGAATTACAACATTATTTTAATATGTATGTCTTGAGTTTAAATAGGCAAAAATCTACTTTTAACCCTTTACCTTAATAAGTTTGTAGGTTTTAGCTCATCAACTTATACTATAACACTTTCAACCTCTCACCTATAAGAATTGAAGAAAATAACCCTTAGTTAACATGAGGTTATAATATTTATCAGCTGACTATTAACATTCCATTAACAATTAGTTGACAGATTGTTAACGGTGACAGGAACAAAGCTAATAAAATGTTAACAATCAACTGACAAATGTCATAAACTGATATTAAGTAAGGACTATTTTTTGCAATTCGTACAAGTGAGGGGTTATTTTCTTTGATTTGTAAATGTAAGAGCCTAAAAGTGTCATAATATGAAATAAGAGCCTAAAACTTATAAACTTATTAAGGTAAATGACTAAAATTACATTTTTGCCAAGTTTAATATCACTGCATAATTTTTTAAAAATATTATGAGAAAGCATAGATTCATAACACTGTTCTACATTCTACATAGATATTACAATTCTACATGTCAAATACTAACACCACCAATATCGTAATGCTAAAAATCAAAAACTAAAAACTTAAATTCTCAAAACTAAAAACTTAAATTCTCAAAACTAAAAATTAAAACCCTAATGTTCATACTAGTTTTGCATCTCAAACCCTAAAGAATACATCAATATTAGAAACTCAAGATCACACATAGTAGCATAGGTTAATATCTCACATCCTAGTGCCTTTTACCACATAGTTTGGTGCCTTTTACCACATAGTTTGGTGCCTTTTACCACATAGTTTCTCCCTTTTCAACTCAAGCTTAAACTTTTCCCTCTCTAACTCTTGTTTTAGCCAAGAAACTTTAGAGTTGACTAATTTTATGCTATTAAACATCTCTCTATATTCTTGCTTTATAATCAAACGAGTACTTAACACATATAACTCACTACCATCTTCAACTCTAGGCAAAGTCAACAAAACATCCATGCATTCTACAATACTGCCATTAGTTGCATCATAATTCTTCTTTGATGATTTAGTTAAACTAGCTGAGGTATAACTTTCAACTGCATCATAAAGACAATCCAATTGTCTTTGCATGTATGTTGCACCCCCGACTTCACTTTCTTTCCTTTACCTTTAGTTGAATTACCTATTGTGTTTTTCCTTTCTTCGTTGCTTTTTTGGGTTTTTGTAGCCATGATGTTCACCTCATTAGAATCACCACTTCCTTTGTCTAAATCAACAACATCTTCAACCCTTACTTCACTTGCACCTTGTTCTGGAAAAACAGAACCAATAGCTGGGGTCCATGTAGTTTCACCAGTTGTCATTATTTTAGCAAACATTATCTCCAACTCTGCCATATTTCTAATCCATTATACTCAAACTTATCATATTCCCTATTCTTTTACAATAATTAACATCATATAAGATACAATAAATTATGAATTTAAAGTTAAAATTAGCATATTAACATTCAAAAATTTTAAATCAATAATAATAATAAAATAGTATTAACTGCTTTCAATGCAACCATTCGTTGAAGAGTAGCATAAATGGTACCTTTCTCATGGTTTCACCCTAATCCTATTTCTTGTTTTAAAAGTTAATTCCACAAAATCCAATCATTTTTTAATGCATCCCACCTATTTCTTAATTGTTAATAAACATAACTTTTATTTATTCCTTCATTAAATTTTGTTCTACATTTCTCCACCTTATTTTATTAAAAAAAATTTGTGAGACAATTAGCAGCCATGACCTCTTCAACACAGACCTCATAGAAAATTTTGGTTGTAATTGCGTCTTGTTGTGCCTTTGTCCTTTATCCTGTTATCCTTTAAATCGAAAAGGCCTACTATCTTATATATTTGAAATAATTTTCTCATTTAAACAATATCTATAAAAACATAACTTGACAGTATCAATAACAGTAACATTAACAATCTTTACACATGTTTAGATCTAAAAATAACAAATTATTTATTGACATCAAGGCATGCTACTAAAGGAAAGAGCTTTTTTAACTGGCAATCACTACAATACAAAATTTCAACCAAATAACCCATTTAGGCATAGAGTTTTGGATGATTCAAACTATAGACAAATTGTGTGTTAAAGCATCAAAATATTTGTAGAAATTACAATTTTATAATAAAGTTAGTAGCTATAAAAATGCTAAAATCATAGCTATTATAATATATAACTAGTAACTGTAAACTAATATAGCAATTTAATTTATCAAAAAATTAATTAGTAATTAACGAAAAAAAAGTTAAAGAATAATTAATTTTAATGAAAATAGTTTTGACAAAAAAAAAAGAGAGAAAAATAAAGGAAACAATGTTTCAACTATTTTTATCGACAAAAAGAGAGAAGGTGATCCAGAATAGCTAGAGGTTTTCTACGCTATTCTTTCTACCATTTATTCAAGCATCCACCTTCTCTGCTTTTTGTTGAAAATAAAATAAGTAGTGTCATTTTATTGACATAATAATGAAGAAAAATGAAAATGATTAATGTTTACTAGAATTGAACTTTATAGCTTAAATGGCTTGCTCAAGTTAACTAACTATAGCATGAGAACATTCACACAGTAGCCAAAAGAGAACACTAACATCAAGATCAATAGGCCCCCAAGTGTTCAATGACATCTTTTTATGGAACAATGATATGGTATGCAATGTAACAATAGTCATTTATTCCTGAAGCAATCTCGAAGTGTATTGTTAAGAAGGTTGATAACTAGCCAATGACAATGTGGCTTATCAAGTGGAAGGGGATGATAATCAAAGATGCTACATGGGAACTTATGTCAAAATTTCTATTGCATTTTCTTGACTTTCATCCTTGAAGACAAGGATGTTTTTGGAGATGGGGTAATGATATAATGCCAATGTGGAATACTGATGTGGCAGTGGTTTGTTAACTATTAGTATATTTTAATAACTATTTAGTTGGTTGGAGTTGGTTTAATTGTTGTAATTTGTTATTTGCTTATGTTTTTATCTTTTATAATTGTCTATTGTATTTTGGTTTTGGTGTGATGAATAAATTCAACTAGCTTATCCTCTAAACTTTCTCTTGTGTCTTTTTCTCCTCTTTCCTTCCCTTTAATCCTCAATTCCATTCTCCCTTCTTAATCATATTCCATAAATTGCCTATTATCTTTTAATTGATTTTTTATAATATATCTAATTCAGTTCATCATCCTTTAATTCTTTGCCATATTCTATAGAATCTAAATCATTTCTTTATTTGAAGCTGGTTTTCTCATCCAAACATTATGTCTAGCATTATCCATTGTTCTTTCTTGAGGTATTTCGAGCTAGCAACGTAAGTAGTAAATCAATTCATGTGTGTGCTTAGAAAATTAAGATTCTCATGGCTTAAGCTTATTAATACATCCAAAAGACTTCAAGGAATTTGTAATATTTTTTAGCTTTGGTAGTAATATATTTTAGAAATGTTGATTTAATCTATTGCATGTAGTTTGGTTTTAGACATTATTATTACTGAATGCCTTATAATATTGAAACCTACTATGTGGTCCAATGTAACAATCGTATAATCATGAAAATTTGGTAGCAAATAACAAGATAGTAAAGAGTAAAAGACCATACCTGATTCAAGGAGTTAGTAACCATCATAGTTCCAACACAAGTTCAACAAAGTTTCGCAAAATCAATGGCATTGCCACTCCTCAGTGCATATCTAGTCCCTGAAGTTGCCACTACAAACATACTATACAAACAAAATCAATCGAATCCAAGTTTGTTCCAAAATCAAAGAAATTACAAAACAAAAAAGAATGCTAAGAAATTCTAAAATTGATCTAAGACGAGCCTTCGAGAGCTTCCAATAGTAGCGACCGTTTTAGAATAAAAATAATAAAATCCAAAACTCAAAATCTCAACTTGTAATGAAATTATATAATAGAATAAGGAAAACAAGTGAAAAGAATTACCTAGTAACAGGAG